TTTGCAGAACACAACAGTATTCTCAATAAATACTACATTTTCTTTTGTTAAAAAGGAAAATGAGGGAAGAATGACCAAGCTCCCTTACTCAAGGTTTCGTCCCTTTTTACCTTTCCTGTGTAATGGAACGGAGGCTGGAGGTATAGATGTGGGTCGAGCAATAGCCATTCCCTCATCTGTGTTTTATTATTCATTGGATGGTTCCCTCCTGCAGCCTACATAGAACATACTGTCCTGGGAACAATGAGTTTGATTTGACATTTCACTGGGGCAAATGGTTCTCATAGCTAATAATATTCTTGGGCCAAGAGTGGATCTCCAAGTGATTTCCCTTCTTCCAAGTTCTCATTCATTCAGAATTTGCTGATATAATTTATTCACTCAATGCAAATTGATTGAAGATCATCACCTGCCAAGAATTTCACAAGGAGCTGGAGGTATCTTGATGATCACAGTTGGGGCACTCAAGGAACTTAGCCTGGGAGGAAAGCCAACATTAGCTAGAGGGATGCATAATTTCCAACTGAGCCAGGAAGTAGTTCTCGAGGAGTGTAAAGCCTCTCTCAGCCTGCAGTGTCAGCAAAGACTTCCCTGAGTAAGTGACACAAGAACCAAATGGAAAGCTCAGATGGGAAGCTTGGAACCGCATTGCCCAGATTCCTTCTACAAAATTTCATATGTGTGAAATTTTGAACTCTGTGTCAGGACTTCCAATCTTGACCAACAGCAGGACGTAAGGGCAGAGTGAAGAGGGGAAGAGGGCAGCTGTCAACAGAGAAGACACCGACCAGACACCCCTGGTTACAAGATCATGGCATTGTCTGCCTTTTCTTGGTCTCAGAGAGCTGTCCTGGTTTTTGATCATCGCTTTAATCTGGTTCTATGAGCCAGACACTGGGGTTCTGAATGTTCTTGCAAAAAGTCCCTTTTGCTTAAGGTAGCCAGAATTAGTGTCTGCTGTTTGCACCCATCAAGCTATTTGCATGCCACATTGCTTTCCTCCACACTTATAGTTAGGATTATGCGTGCTTATCACCACAACCAGACTGTCAGTTTCTTGAGTTATTTCTCTTTGAACCCCCAGGGCCCAGAGAAGTGACTGACTGACACTCAGCAAATGCACAATGAATTTGATTTTGCACGTGTTCAAAAAATTAGGTTTGCCAATAATAAATACAAAAGTTCCAGCGGATGTTTAAACACTGAGAAAGAGCTTGATTTGGAAAAAAAAAAAAGGTCCTCCATGCCTTACATCAATTTCACACTAATGTGGAAATCTCTACGCTCTGTAGTTATCTTCTCAGATATTACTTATTAAAATAAACATCATGAAGAAACCCAGTGTTCTAATAACCATACTCCTGCAGCATCCTTGCCTCTGAACTTAACATCATTCAGCACTTTTACCACCACGCTTCCAAATGGGTAAAGCTCCTGAGGTGGGCAGGTCCAGGGCATCACTCCCAGGAGCCAACCCCATTCACCTCTCTTTACCCCTTTTAACCCTCGGGGCAATCCATGAAGCCCAGTAGACAGCAAGTGAACTTGGCTTCCAGAGAAATCACCGTCTGTTTTTCTACCCCTAATAAACAAAGTGCCTCTGCTCTATAAATTCACAGTGCTGTGGAACTCCGACCTAGAATGAAAATGGAGATAGGTTGTTTTTTTGTCCAGTTAAATGGCTTTTTTAAAAAAAGATCTTGGGCAGTAGATTTATGCTGCAAGAATCTATGGGCTGCGTAAATTTTATCTGGTTCAAATAATACTACCATGTCCTAAAACTTGGGTACTATACACTTTCCAAATGTACAATGTCATCAAGGTTTTATGATATTTCCTACAAAAATGACTCCACAGTCAGGTAGCACTTCATCAGCTACAGTTTGAATTCAGGTATCGGAGCAGAATGCAGCAGGAAAACGGTGCTGCTCCCCTGACTTCACTATCTCAGCCACAGGGGGATATTCCACTGAACAATGTTCATCCATGCATGTTTCTATTCCCTCATAAAAAGAATTCCACATCTTGGATTATGGAGTAGAACCAAAACTATGGTGGAAGGAGCAAAAACCCATTCTTGATGACTTCTGTTTTCCTGCAAAAGCTTGATCAGAGAAATTCTGCCATGTGCGGGGAATAGGGCCAGTGCCTATTCAACTTCACTTCCTCCTTCAAGTAGCAAAACCGTTAGAGTATCAGGTCCGTGCCTGCTGCTTAAACGTGTGACCCATCAAAGTGGCTTATGGAGCACACAAGACTTCCGAGACCCAGAGCTCTGAAGGCAAAGCTGACAGATACGAGGTGCAAGTCTAGCCTCGCCAGGTTAAACATGGCTATGAAAGGAGCATACTCAGTTCTACTGGCATCAAAACACAGCGCTCGCTGCCAAAGAGTCTATGAGAAAGAAATATTAAGTAATACGCCAACTCTGACATTGACATGCATTTGTTATTCTTCTATGCCAACCCACCCTAACCCAAAGCGTATGCTGTTCCAATCCAGGCCTGCCCTAACCCAGCTAATTATGCTTGAATTTAGGCAAAACACTAAGGAGTATTCAGTCCCAAAGACAATGTTTCAATGGCCCATTAGCTTCTGTATTATTTCCATATTCTGAGTTGGGTCCTGAACTGTGTTCATCACTGTAGGAATTGTCTCTCTTCCTCAGCGCAGGTATAATAGAACTCCCACCAACTCACTGTGTTGAAAGTGGTATTAGTTCCTTCCCAAATGTACTGGGAAACACTCAGTGAAAAAGACTTGAAGCAGAGCAACCTCTTCAATTATACATGAAATATTTCCAAATTCATTATCTACATGGTTTAAGTGGACTTGTGATCATGTTGCCCAAGGAGCCCTGGTATAACCAACGGCTTTTGTTTTAGGGCTTTCAAACTGGTTGCCAAACCTTTGAGTCTGTCTGTGGAGAAAAGTTTAAAATTTTACAAAAAATATGCACATATTGGCAAAAGTGGACATGTGTCCCTTAGGCATAAAAAGTGCCTTTCCCAAATGTTTACTGAGATTTTTTTCTATTTCTCAAGAATGAGAGTGCTTAGTCTCACCTCCTGGTAAAACGAACACTTGTGATGTTCTTCTTAAATTCATTCCCACACATGGTGTCATCGTCAGAAAACTAGAGGAAATGAGGCTTATTCCCTTAATTTGTAATAACCATTTTATCATATTTTCCCAGAGACAAAAATCTTGTATCTAGATTGTATGACCTTGGGTTACCCTACCATAAGCCTCAATTTCCCTCAGTTTCTTGGATGATTAACTTGTACTTGCTTCACAGAGTCCCGGTCAAGAGTAAGTGAAGAAAAAAAATGAAAAAAAAATGAAAAAAAAAATGAAAGAGTAAGTGAACAGTGCATGTGTATCCAGCACACAGCATTCAACAAAAGTCAGTGCAATGAACGTCAGTTTTGTCCTCATTCTCTGCTTGGTATTTAAATGACAAGACTTCTTTCCAATCCTCAGCACATGTTCCAAGAACTTCCACGTAACTGTTTCTCTGTTAGTCCCGCCTGCCCTGGACAGCCTCTTTGATTCAGAGGTCTTGGTGGTCCCTTCCCGGCTGTCTCCTAATTATCTGTATCAATTAGCTGGAACTTCAAAGGGGGGATCCAATGGCTAGGGCCTTGTCTTTAAAGATCTTGCCAGAAATGAATTAATAATATGATCTATCTGATCACCAATATCCTGAGAGTGTGGATGGGCACAGCTTCATGGGCTTGTGACTTATGCAGTTGCACAGGGCCCCGCACTAAGACGGTTTGGCTCAGTGGATAGAGCATCAGCCCTAGGACTATAGCATCCTGGATTCAATTCCAGTCAAGGGCAAGGACAAGTTCCTCAGCTGCAGGCTCATCCAGGGCCAAGGTGTGTGCGGGAGGCAACCAATCAATGTGTCTCTCTCACATCGATGTGTCTCTCTGTGTGCCTCTCCCCCTTCCCTCCATTCTCTCTAAAAATCAATGGGAAAAAATACCCTTGGGTGATGATTAACAAACAAAAAAAGAATAGGCTGTAGGAAAGGAAAGGGTAGAAGCAGGAAAAACAGCTAGGATGCTGTTGATATATACAAGGTGAGAGATGATGTGGCAAATGACACCAAAGAAGAGGCCAGTTAGACTCCATTTACCTGATGCTGCAGCACAGGTCACCAGGCACAGTCCTATCTATGGCGGTGTCCTTGCCAGCCGGCTTTGTGTCCACCCCTGGTTCCTGCCCAGTTCCCATGCTGGCTGCCTGCTTTACACTACATTTTCTTATAAGAGCAGGTGTTTTTCTCTTCTTGCCTACCCTTTTCCTATGGTCCCCCCCCCCAAAAAAAAACTGTATACAGTAGCAAATGGGATTCTCCAAAAGAAAATCAGATGTTGTCACAAAATCTGGATCCCCCACAAAGGAGAAAATGAGCTGCTGAAAGAAGGAAGGAAAGAAAGGCCCGACTCAGGTCATGCATCTTCTGTGTTAGGTCACTGTTGTTGGGGCTCACTATACACTCCCTATGGTCTCTAATTAAGTAATGGATGTGAACATTGACCCCCTCCTAAAATCTGTATGGGTGTGCAGGATAAAATCTACTAAAGTTTTTGTATATACAAAATGCATCTAAAATATCTTTAAAACCAACAAAATACTTTGCTCAACTCTCCATAAGGAAAAAGGAAAGACTAATTTTTTGAACTTTTTATTAGACTTACATCTAAATTTGTACAATTCTCTCTATGGTTAAGCTGGCAAATGAAAAAAATATATATCATCACTATTTAGTTTACAGGTAATCAAATAGAAAACTCAACCGGCCTTGCTAAAAATGACACGATACAACTACGGGTGAGTGCAATACCAGTCAGTTACAAGTGTGTAGTGCCTAATCTAGATTTCTCGAAGAATACTCCCTGCTTTTCAGCATGATCAGAAATGTCTCTGCCACAACAGAGCATGGATGCTACCCATTCCCAGCCTGAAGGGCGCTGCCAGCTACTCACCTTTTTCTGAAGAACATTGATTTTCCTTTCCTTCACTTCTAACATATCCTTCATGTCACGGATCTCCCCGGCCAGCGTCCCCTTCTCTTCCGTGAGATCTTGCAGCTGTTTTGTTTTTTTATTGAGAAAAGATTCTTTCTCTTCCAGGCGTAATCTCAGCGCATCTACCTGAAACCAGGAAGAAGAAAGAAGGTAGTGGTTTCAGGCCAGAGTCATCAGGAGGCATCAGTCAAGCCCCGGGAGGGGGTGGGGCGCAGCAGGCCTTCTGAGCACAGCGTGGTCACACCACTGCTCATGAGCATCTCGATGCCAAGCGTCTATCAGTCTGTGTCTACCTTAAAGTCCCGTTGCCTGTGTATCTGAACAGTGATACATTTTTTAATGTAGGCTTTTTTATGAAAGCGTAGTGTGTCTCCGTGATGGCCAGGGAGGGTATAGCACTCAACGCAGCAGCATCTGCCAGGAACCTGGAGAACACAGTGAGCCACGCCCAACACCTGGAAGGAACACTGACATGGAGAAAAACACTCCTAAATTAGAAGAATACAGCCCTGCCAGCGTGGCTCAGTGGTTGAGCGCAACCTATGAACCAGGAGGTCATGGTTCGATTCCCGGTCAGGGCACATGCCCAGTTTGCAGGCTGGATCCCCAGAATGGGGCTTGCAGGAGGCAGTCGATCAATGATTCTCTCTCATCATCGATGTTTCTCTCTCTCTCTCTCACTCTCTCTTCCCCTCCCTTCCTCTCTCTGAAATAAATAAAAATATATTTTTAAAAAAAGACATTTTGCCAAAAGGAAGTAAATGCTGCTAGAGGGAGAAAATGTGGAAATGACACCCACTTGTCAGCTTTATGAAAGACTACTTTCCAAAGGATAAGGATAAAAAGAGACAAAGCATCCCAAAAATGCCTATTTCTACTTTACCTCAAAAATTAGATTATTACAACCCCTGCTTTTCAAATGTCAGTAATAAAATGAAGAAATGTACGCTTTATTTTTTTCCGAAGACCACATGTTAAAAAAAATTGGAGTGAAGGAAGATTTTAATCCTCACTCATACCCGGAAGTTGATAGGCAGTAACTACATCGACAATCAGGAAATAGTGCTGAAGCCTGTTAGTTATATTATCAAAATAACCAGGCAAAACGAATTAAAAGTTTGTCTTGGGGAAGAAGAGATGGGACAGGGATAAGTGGGGCTGCTGCATCTCTCAGCAAAGTGGTGCTCGCTACACTAAGAACAAGAAAAAGTTGATGAAAAGGGGAAAAAAGACAAAAGCTAAAAAAAAAAAAAAGGATGCAGGAATGCCATAATGAGCCACAATAAACAGCAACGTAAATACTATGAGGACAGAGTCAAAGGCCTAACTTGGAACAATGAAAAGAGAGCATGAGGTGTCAGGCTGGTTCTGCCTCTATCTGGCTGTGAGGATGGGGACAAACAACTTACTCCCCCCACCCAGCCTTTTAGCCTCAGTTTCTTCATTCGTAAAACCAAAAGGTTGGAACACAGTGCCTGACATTTTAGGATTTTTAAGACAGGAATCAAGCTTAGGTACAATACGTCATGAAAAAGGTGATGATATGAGAAAGAAAACAATTATTGGGGTAGAATCTCCATTTCTTACAACTTTCCAAGAAAGGGGTGCCCAACTGTGACCTTCCTAAAGGTCAAAAGTGATGAGGAGGTGAGTGAGTAGAGTTTTCCCAGTTTCTGTCCCTGAGAGGAGGATGAAGCTGGGAGGTCCCAGCAAGGGAAAGGGTGACAACAAGAGCTTGAAGTCCAGTGGAGACCCTGACTGCAGTGTGGAGAGGACGGGTATCGGTGACTGCAGAGGTAAGAACTGCAGACTCTTCAAACATCTGCTCTTCCCACATAATTACCATAGAGATCTAGGGGCCAGGAAGGTGGAGGGGATGCTTGTGTCTGGGGATCTTCCACGAAAATTGATTCCAGTTGCACTGAAGTTTAAACATAGAGATTCTCAAGTGACCTATCTTCGTTTAAAGTTATCTTCACCTACCAATCTGGAATAAAATCAATACTTGTCTTTGGATTTTCATCGTATCAGGTAGAAAAGAAATATTTTTTATACATAAAGAATGGCATTTGTGGGTTCCTTGTACATTGGCAGGGCAGGCTGAGCAGATTAGGGCCGTGGTTATATGTAAGGGCTTACGCTCAGTTGTGGAGACTTGAACACAGGCTGACCAGGACTTGGTGTGAATCTGAGAGGAAACTGTGGTCCCATTAGCCCTGCATTCCAGCTATCAAAGATGGGTGGTCTCTACCAGGACTAAAGGAAATGCCCAATATCCCAAACTGTGATATAAATCAATTACAATATGGGAGGTAGTGAGTGGTGCTGACGAGGGCTTAGAAAAGAGACTCTGTACTGATGGAGAAGACACTTAGCATGTGTAGCGCCTTCTCACCATGCATGGCCTATCAGTGCCCAGCTGCATCTTCCTGAGCCCAGAAGAGATAAAAATAAACAACCCTGGCTGTAAGAATTTTCCTCCAAGAATAAAACAGAGCAGGGATGGTCATGATCAACAACCTACTCATAACACCCAAATTCTACATGGCAGGAGGACTCTGTGCCAGCTCAGGTCTTCTGCTTAGGAGTTTATTTTCCATGCGCCCAAAAGCATGTACTTAGCTTCAAAGGAATTTGAATCGTGCCCTTCAATCACCTTCACTCTATCTTTACAGCTTTGCACAGTCTCCTACAATCAAGAAACAAAGCTTAAGGGCCTTTTTTTTTTTTCTTAAGACAAAACTTTGACCTGAACTGCATCCAATTCTCAACCAACATTAGCCCCGTTTGCAGTAAGCAAGTATGACATCATTTCTAAAGTCAAATTTTAACTTCCAGATGGTGCAAAACCACAAGCAGGCGCACGGGCCTTCTGATGCACAGAAGTTTAAATACAGGGAAGATCAGGCAAGAAAGAATAGAGTTTATTAAAAATTGGAATATGTAGTTTCAAACTGGGTATCAATGAGTAGGATTAAAGTCGCCCTCACTAATATTTGGACTTCACTCAACAGTGTACATTGGTCAAAAAGAATCAGAAAGGCCTTGAAGTTTAGATTATAGTCCAACATCAGGTAGAGACATAAAAGTTAAAATGTTAGAGAATATGAAATACTTTTCTTTGCCTCTTCACTCAACACCAAATAATTTTAAGGGCCCTTGACTCTCTCTCTTAAACTTTGGCAGTTGACTCAATAATAAAACTTGGCAAAGCAAAAAGCACTATTATTTCCCAGAAAGAAAAAAAAAATTAGAACTGTATGATATAGTCAGTGCATAAAGACCCATAGGTTCAGTTTCCAATTTTTACATCTGACTCAACTGCATGGGAACTAGTCACCTAATGTTAAAAGTAGGACAATCTTTTCATTTTAGGAGAATTACTCATTTCCTTCTGATCCAATTATGTGTGTATTTGTGTGTGTGTGTGAGTGTGTGCGCTCACGCGTGCGCGCTTAAGACCATACAACATATGAAAATTTAACCTTTTATCTGGCAGTATAAAACACGAAACATTTGTTATCACTTCAGTTCCAGGTAATAACTTGAAAGAAAAGGACCATGGCAACGAAATTGGCAAAAATTGCCAAAATCAGAGTTAAACATTATTAATCTTCATGTCAGCACCCAGGAATTATAACCAGCTCCAATGGTGAGGTATGTTTGGAGAAGTTCTGTACATCAGGCTCCCGACCTTGCTGCCATATTTTACACGGGCCTTCAGAAACGGCTTTAATGTTGTGACAAAATACTAAGTGCTACTCGATGTGCCATAAATAATTTTTTTTTAAATCAAACGGTTCATTCCAATGACTACAGCAACACTTGGAAAAAAAAAAAAAGAAACACTTGAGAGAGAAAAGGGGGCCACTTGAAATTTTTCACGGATTAAATACCACTTACTTGACAACGCTTCGGGAATTGAATAAACATGGTATCGCAAAGAACAACTTTCAAAGAAAATGAAGCTGGAACACTCACAAAAGCTCCCCGATACAGTTTTCTTTCACATTCAAAGTTGAGTGTGTTTGTTTTTCCTAATAGTAGACTTGGGTTAAGGGTGTATTTGAATTTGATTCAACTTGCAATCATTCAAATGGGAGTCAGCTTCGAAGTTGGAAGGATGCATAGTGGACACAGCCTCCAAAGACACAAACACTTAAAAATACCCTAAAATGTAAAACTTGCTGTGGGAGTAACCACTACTTCGCACTCACATCCAATTTTCCTTTCCTTCCTGAACACAGGGACGGTCTCCCTTGCAGGAAGATGGGGCCATTTGTCTTATTCATGAAATAGAAACGGAAGCGGCACACCTCGCTTCTCCATGCTTCCCCCTCTCACTCTGCCCCGTCCTCCGAGACCATGGAGGCTACATGTTCAGGATGGTGGAGCTACAAGACAGCAGAACCTCCATAAATCTGGATCCTCAAGAGACCACAAGGAGGAGGAACATCCCCTACCTTCCACCTACCAATCCCCAACACCCAACCTGGGTTGTACTTACAATATGATGCACTGAACTACTAAAAAATTATTATTCTTACAATTTCCCCTGTTTTGTTAAGAGGTGGGCACCTTACAAGTAGAAAGATTTGTTTCTCTTTCAGATTATCATAAACCTGAAAGAAATAGGGCTGCTGTACCTCCCTCTACTCCTTCTACGTGTACAATCGCAACATCTACTTTCTCCTCTATTTTCCCCCCAAATCCAAAGAGAAGGGAAAGGACAGAGAGCCAAGGGCAGCGCTAAAAGGAAGAGGTAGCAGAACCCTGGGGAATGGACTCAGAGGTTAAAGTTCAAGAACTTAGGCAGTGGTTCTCAACCCTCTAGCCCAGGGGTGGGCAAACTTTTTGACTCGAGGGCCACAATGGGTTCTTAAACTGGACTGGAGGGCCGGAACAAAAGCATGGATGGAGTGTTTGTGTGAACTAATATAAATTCAAAGTAAACATCATTACATAAAAGGGTACGGTCTTTTTTTTTTTAGTTTTATTCATTTCAAAGGGGCCGGATTCGGCCCGCGGGCCGTAGTTTGCCCACGGCTGCTAGCCCTTTAATACAGTTCCTCATGTTGTGACCCAACCATAAAATAATTTTCGTTGCTACTTCATAATTGTAATGT